GCATTGACAAATTATGTATGAATAAAAAATTCAGGATGTTTATTTCATTAACACATCATGATGCTAAGTTTTTTTTCCCCCTTGAGAAAGTAAATAAAAATTCCATATTAAACATTTCTGAAATGTGAAAAAAATGTAATAATATATACTATTGGATTAAAATTATAAATTTTTATTAAACATATTTCTGAAAATCTTTTAAGCATCATGCATATAGTTTATGTGAGAGAGCAGAAGCAAATAATGAGTAATGAAATAGCAATAACTAAATATCTACACAGTGAAATCTCTGCAAGAAGGGCATCCATGGCTCTTATCTTTCATGGAATCCATCATCTTATAGAGATATTTAAAGCTTTAATATTTAAAAACGAATTCTGTGAAGTTTGATTTATGATCTCAGAAACATTACTCATTTTCAGGAAGTGGTTGCCCCAATGATTTCACTGTAACTGTTAAAAATGATCAATAATTATAAATAAGTAAGCAGTAAAATCAAAACTTCTGCCCATTTCACAAACCACTGCATTTAATAATTGTTATTGACAACTTATGTTAGCACACAGTGATGAAATAGCACATATACATATATAAATAGTAAACTATTACATAAGTTATATTAAATGTAATAAAATCTCCCTAAGATGACCATATATGATTCCTGATGATTTTTCAATTTCTGTTTCTTTTAATAGCTTTTAGATTGCTCAAACAAGAAAATAACTATTACTAATGCCCAATAATAAAGCTTTTTTATGTTCTCAGAATTACTATTAACTTTCAGAAGTTTCCAAAATTGTTTTACCAAAGATTTTGTACAATAATAAAATTTCATATGTGTTATATGTTAACTTTTGTTATACTTATTATAAGTAATGTACAGATCATAATTAAATTGCCAGATTAATTTTTCAAACTGCAGATTGGTATTTTTGCTTTCATTGAAAACATCAAAATGGATGTACGTGTAAAATTTGAATTTGTTTGGCAAAGTGAAATTCCAATAGTATGTGGATTTGTGCCTTTATGCAAACAAAAGCAAGCTCTTATGATATAAGTCAGTTGCATTTAAGAAATATATAACTTACAATCGTTACACAAAATACAATAAATATCAAACATCTTTAACATGACTCATCCTTGCCATTTTAGGTCAATACTATTTCTTACTGCTGGATAGAAATTTCTATTAAAATTTTACATGCTGGATATGAAGGTTTATATATTCAGGAAAAACATGACTATTGATTTGACCATTTGTCATTTTTTATGGAAATTTTTTTCTATGTAATTTTATTCCATAGTACTGTTTTGTTTTTAAAACAGTAATTTATTCCTCTATTATAAATAAAATGACAAAATAATCATATTTATCACAATATGGTTTATTTTAAATCCTTTTTTTATTATTATTACTTATTTTTATTTTTCGCCTTTTAGGGGTTTCATTCTGTCCATCAGAATATATAAGTGAATAGTAAAAACTGATGTTGAGAGGATGAAGGATAATTGAATTTCTGTTAAATTATATTTAACAGTACATATCTAAAAAAATAGAAATTTAATACAGATCTCCACTTTGCAAAAGAACAGCACTGCTGTAAAATCTTTAATAAGACAAAATGGTAAAAAGTAATGAAGCAGCTAAGGTGAATTTATATAGAAAAACTAACCTTTATTAAAGGATATTATATAGAATACTTTTTTTTTTTTTTTTAAAGGACAGCTATTAAATCATCATTGGCATTTATTTCTGTATGGTTAGCTTCTGTGCTTATGTTTCAGAATATGATGCTAATGTCTGAAATGTTGACTCATACCTGATACTCTGAAGAAACTTATGGAAATGATTCACCGCGAAAATTTTATCCAAATGAAATCATGAATGTTTAGGAATACGCAGAGCTAAAATGTCTTACAACTAGTCCGAAGACAGTATGAGAATTATAATAATCTGCCTGGGGAAAATCTTAAAGCTGATAATGTAACCAAAGTCATAGGTAAGGTTTTCAGTGCCCAGCTGAAGTTTTCGCACCCCCTTTTGTTTGCTAAGAACGGAAAATATTTAATTTTAAAATTTAGTAACATCAGTTTGGCTCCCCTTGGGGGGGGGCAAGGGACAGATGTCCACCCTCACTCCCCTCTAGCTATGCCCCAGGAGGTAACAATGAAAAGAATGTTACATGTGAACCACCATGCAAGGAGACCAATTGTCCTCATTTGGTAGACTCTGTCCTTCTTCAAGAAGTGTCCTCCCAACTGTCTTCCTTTTCAATATTTTACAACTAATCTGTTTATCTCTGTATTAGTTAAAGATGCTGCTTCGAAATGTTACACGTCAATGGTCATGTGATGGTGCAGTTCGAAGAAACATGATTATAAAATGCACAGACAACACATTCTGGGCATATCAAAACATCACGCAGCCACACTTGTCATGCACCTCACACTTTTGCGCACTTTACTTTGTTTATTTTAATGTGTCTATAATATTATAGTTCGCATTTACATCTGATGCAAATACAAATTTCCTTTCACTGTATAATTATTATACTCTGAGTATAATAATTGTGACAATATACTTGCAGAAGACTTGAAAAATGCAGTATTTGTAACAGTTTTATCTGAGGCATCGAATCATAATGAAACAAAATTGTATCCAATAATAGTAAGATATTATAATGTTAACAATGGCACTCACATAAAAATTTTTAATTTAAAGTCTATTGAGGGCGAAGAAATTTTGGTGAACCATCTATACAGAGTAATAAATGAAAACAATTTGAAATATAAAGTTGTTGCACTAACAGCAGATAATACAAATACAAATTTTGGTGGGAAAAGATGCAAAAGGAGTAAATAATGTCTATGAAAAATTACCAGATTTACTCTAAAAGAAAACACTAGGCATAGGTTGTAATACACATATTTTGTCAAATGCAATAAACATGGTATCATCTGCCATGCCAATTGATGTAGAAGTAATAATAACAACAATTTATTTGTATTTTAGTCGTTTTACACGGTTCGTGTGACTGCTTTAAAAAAATTTTGTAAAGACGCAAATGTCCTGCTTTGTTCGCTTTTTGTCCTCTTTTTCATTGTAAAAAGAAAAGGGTCACCTTCATTAAATCATTTTCTTATAATATAAATGTTGTCCTTTTTTAAAATCATATCAATTTCTTAAGAAATAAAACATAAATAAAAGAAACAATCATATGATGAATACATAGATTATGTAGATAGAAGTACATGTATATTCGGTGTAAAAAAATGAGTCCATTGGAAACTGTAAAGGAGATGGCAGTGAAAATGTAAAGTGAGTTGTGAAATATCTGGTTGTGCAAGATATAGGAGACAGGTTGAAGACCACTTATTAATATCTAATTATTTGAATCTATAAGATCACTATGTCTATAATTTAGGTGCCCAAATGGGTCAAAAAGTTAAAAATTTGTTACACTTTGACTAATGTTTAGGATACTAGCTGTTAAAATTGATATCTGCAGATACTTCCTTAAAACTGTTGGTTTCCTTGTTTTTCCTGTTACATCATAATTGGTCCTACTTTTCAGCAGGCATTATATGAAATAAATGTTGCACCATAATTCTGCTTTCCAACTTTCTTCATAAAAGTGAAAGGATGTAAAAAAGAACAACTTTTTAAACAGAAACAGTAAATTTTACATAAGCTGCAATAATAAGTGTAGTTAAATATAGTAATAAGCAATAAAATCTATATCTAAAATTATCTAACATTCTTGCATTCAAAATTCTTTAGTTTTTAGTCATCTAAATTTTCTCAGTAATTTGCCGATTACGCCCTAATTTTTAAATAAAGATAAAACAATTGATATCTAAGACACTACTTAACAGTCTTACTTTTATTTTCAAAGAAAATATATCTATACTTTTTGCAAATATGCAGTTTTACGATTGCAAGGACAAATATTGTAGAAATCAATAAGGAATCTCTGCATTGATGAACTCACATAATTGTTCATTATATATAAAAACAAATTCTGTTAACATGAAAATATATATGTGGACAAGTTTTTTTACATACACAATTCTTTTGACCTAAATATTTATTTTTGATTGATTTCAAAGGTTGCAATCATAAATATTCCACATTCATTACATAATATATAAAAACAAATATTTGAGAAAATGAATAATAATTGCCTTCCTTAAATCTTTTAGGGAAATATGTTTTTAATACAATGTCAGGTTTCTTTTCATAATACAGTGGACATATTCAACAAAGAGTTAACAGAGCGTAATGTTCGGAAAAAACTTGCTTAGCAAAACAATCCATTATACAGTTTTTATAATATTTCAAAGATTACTCCACTTGACAATAAAAACGTAATATAATAAAACGTATCTCTCCATTAAATCAGTAATAAATAAGTATCTCTCCATTAAATAGATAATAAAATATAACACAGATTTCAATCTGATTTCATAAATTTCATGCATTTTAAAAACTACTGCACACTCCAAATATTATATACATATATGCCAGAAATATATATTTCTATTTGTGTATGTACGAAGAAATAATGCATGAGTAAAATCACATATCTAATGCATTTTTTGAGCAGACTGATTAGTTTTAATGCACGCGTATGTATAATGATAATCTTAAGTTCTTGCTACAAACTATACCACTAAAGAGAAGAGTCGTAAATATTTTATAAAAACTTCCCCAAACCCATTCACATGGCAATTACAACATACGTAAAAGTATGATAACAAAAAATAACCAGTACGGCGATAAATAGCCAATTACAATAACCCTTCATTCGTCAATAGCACTCGTGTGTCGAGAGTATTTGCCCTGAGGCCGGTAAATATCCGGGTAAGTCTCCTTCGTCGGGTCTCAGATATCAGACAGATTCTTAGGGGAATGGGATGATATTTGCACTTGTAAGCAATTATCAGGACACTCACCTGTACTTTCATTTTGTGGTATTCATTTTGAAAACAATAATACTATTTGATATTTTTTTAATTTTTAAAAATATTCAGGTCAAAATGACAAATTCACCAGGGCTGAACCTTCAAAATAGGACAATCTCATATAAACTCGCACATCTGAAAAGCGCATTTCCAGTTACCAAGCTTTTGATTCTTAAACAAACTTATTTTTCAGTGCATTTGATACATACTTTGCCGCCCAGTTATAAAGATTTATCCTATTTAAGAAAAGTGGTGTACTAAGGCAGAATAAAAATGACAGTTTCTGCATTAGTAGTCAGTAATAATTAATACATTTTATTTAAAGTAGCATAAAAATTTATTAACATGTAAAATTGGTTTAATTTTTTTTTCAAAAATTTTTCTGTTGATATTTTGTGAGAGCGTAAACTTGCACTATGAATATTTTCTTTTATGAGTAGAATGGTGTAATAACTTTATGTAATCTGTACTTTCCAAATCGCTTCTAACAGTTTAAGTTTTATAGTTTTGATTATTTGGGTAAATTTTTAGAATTATTGATTAATAAATATTTTTTCCCTTTTTAGGAATGTTACATTTGTGGAAAATCAAAAGGAATTTTCTCTGTCATACAGTACTTTATTCAGGCGAGAGAAAAGCATTTTCTTTTTCTGTGAAAATTGTTTTTAAATGTATTGGATACGAGAAGTTCAAGTACATGGCTCATCATATTACATAAAACTATATTTGTATAGGAATTGTAATTTATAATCATGTTTATAATCATGCTGTACATTCACAAAAAACTAATTTTTTTAATCTTGGCTTTGTTACATTAATATTGATTCCTATATTATAGGGTAAAAATTCAGAGCTAAAATGTTTGCCTTCCTTTGATTTTAGACACATGAGATGTTCAAAGCACTAATGAGTAAGAAAATGTATGATTAACAGTGAGTAAGAATTGTTTTAATTTATAGAGAAGTTTCAATTAAATAAGTACCTTTCCTAAGCCATATTTTAAAGTTTTACTGCATCAGGGAGTATAATGCAAAGTTGTTAGTTTTATACATTTTTAAAACCATATTCATTCTCTAATTACTTTATGAATTTCTTCAGTGTATTTTGTTTTTATGGCAAATAAAGTTTTTTAAATGTGTTAGTTACATAAACTGAACACATTTTTGGATTTATTTACATTTGCGTCAAATGAAAGGAACAGTCAAAGCTGATTATACTATTATTCTAACGTAGGCTTCATAAATATGTAACATAACCCTTTTTGTTATGGTTGTGTTAAATACTTGGCAGTTGTAGCTTTAGATGATTTTGCAGTTCTGTTGTATGTTTTCATCTTGAAAAGTCATGAATTAATAATTTCCTGTTGTTGTGCATTTTCACCAAATCCACTATTATATTCATTTCTGTGTTGTTTAGAGCAGCATAGGCAAAAATTGCTTTGCTTGGAGCTGCAATAAAATTTTAAGTTTTTATACTAGTTTATTGAGGAAGTTTTTGCAAACATTATAAACAATAATAATAAATTATGAAGCAAGCTAATTTTATTAAGTTAAATATTACTTCATATGCAAAGCTTTCGTAAAAGGTAATTTTTTTTTAAGTTTGTAGTAACAGTGCTCATAAATTAACATAGTTGTGTATTTGTGTTCATTTATTGGCTGAATAGAATTTTGTATAATGTCACTTTAATTGATAAATTAAATTTAATGTTTGAATGTTAGTTATTTCATGTGTATTAAAATGCAAGATTTTGTTACAGTTTATGCTGAAAATGTTGTTCTGATTTTGATTTATGATGAAGTTCTCTGCATTTTCATAATATATTGAGATTTTTAAATAATTACATGTTAAATGAATATTGTAATATATATGCATATGATGAAAAACATGTAGTAATATTGATGGTGTAGAATTTAGATCCATACTGAAGAGAAAACTTGGCAGTTGAATAAGATTAAATATTCAATTTTATTTCAATTGATATTTGCAGCCATAATTTACTTTGCACTCTAATTGTGTCTATTCAAGAACATTTACATTTTTGATAAATGTTGCAAAAGGAAGAGAGCTGAGCAAAATAGCCTCTTAACAGGAAGAGAAGAAGAAGCTAAAGTACGCAATTATCCAGTATGGCAGCCTGTCGAGAGAAAGGTTTTATTTCTTAAAATTTTGAGTTCAGATTTCGAATTAGCTATGTCATCAGCGTTATGCAAGCCATGTGACATAGATTGATCTAGAAAAGTTATTATTTTTGGAATACAAAGAGAAAATACCCAAATTCAAGATTGGGAATTAAGAGGCTATTGCTAGTTTAAATTATGATTTTGATTTTCATATTTTTTATCCTATATGCACACACACATATATATATGTAAGGTAAAAAATATATGAATCAAAATTGTAATTAAAACTAACAGTAAAACTTTAATTCTCCCTCTCTGTTCTAAAACTTGTAAAAACTTATCTGGATTGCATCATTTCTAGGTCATTCAATTTTGCATGGCCTGCGCAACGCACGGTGATGATGTAATAATTGGGAACTGGAAAACCAAAACCTTTCTCTTCGTGTGCTTCCATCTTGCATAACTACGCACTTCAGCTTCGCTCTCTACCCTGTCAGGATGTAACTTCTCTGTTTTGCTTGCTATTGCAATAATATAAAAAATGTAAATGTTCTGTAAAAAGGCATGGCTAGAGTGCCAAGTGAATTGTGGTCACAAAAGTCAGTTTGCAAATAAAAATGAAATTAAAACTGCCTCAACTGCCAAGTTTTTTAGATATTACGAAGTCAACCTATTAGCTTACGACGCAATCAATCAGAGTTCTTCCTCTTCAGTATGGATCTACCCTATATAGCTATTGCACATTGGCACTGTTCCATCTTTTCCTTCCGTTTATTATTTCATATATAGTCTATTTATCTTGCACATACACATAGATATAAATTTTCAGTAAATGTGTAGGATGCAATCTGTACTTAAAATTGATTATTGTTTTAATCATTTCTTTTTCCCATTGTTGTACTGCAATTTAAAAACAGTATTTTATTGATGCCGTCTAAGAAATAAATAACTAAACCTATGATTACTGAATTTTTCATTAATTATCAGTATGGTTTGTAATTATATCCCTATTTTTATTGCAGCATGCTTGTGTCAGTAATGATGTTGCATATTACCTTTCACTTACAGATATTCTGTTGTTTTCTTTTTTTCTCTTTCTTTGCTGTTGCTTTCTGAGTAAGCACCACTGTTAATAGAATATATTTGCAGGTGAGGTTAAATATTTCCAACAGTTAACTGTATTGTGTTCATACACAGTCCATTCTAATTTCCAGCAAGCAATTTTCTGGCACACAATTTCTCTTTAGGTAACTTCAGAGAGGAAAAAATTTCCAAGGGGGCGAACTGTGGGCCTTGGCAGTCACTAAACTTCTCTGTAGTGCCTTATAACAAAACCAAAAAAAAAAAAAAAAAAAAAAAAAAAAAAGAGAGAGAATTTTGAAGTTATATATTGATTTCATTGTGAAAGGGAGCAGTGTTTCATCATAGATGAAATGCGTGTTTCCCTAAATTGCTACAGTCAAGCCTCATTAAACCTTAGCATGAAGGTAGGTTGGACACTCTTGAAACAAAATAGGATACACATATACGTAATGCCTCTTCTCTTATTAAAAAAAATATTCACATCTTATTTCTAAATGCACATTACAATACAATGCTACTTCGAAAATTATTTGCACTATAGAGATCAAGAAGTAAACTAAAAAAATTACTGTTTTATTTTTAAAAAAAATGTTTTAATGGATGCTTGTTTTAATATTGATTTGTTACTTTTCATAACTTTTGCATTATTTTACCATTACAAAGTCTTTATCATCTATTTTTTTGCAAGAAATTTAAATTCTTAATAGTATTTATTGTAGGTATAACATCTTTATACATTAGCATAGTGGTGTAGCTAAGGTGGGGCAAGGGCAGACATCTGTCTCCAGGCACAGCATCCAAGGGGTGCCAAATTGATGTTATGAAATTTTAGAATGAAATGTTTTCCATTCTTCACACACAGAAGGGGGTGCAAAATCTTGAAGTGACCCCAGGCGCTGAAAACCTTAAATACGACTATGCATTAGCACTTGATCTAGTTCATCTTCACTTTTTTGAGTGGACTCTAGATGGTCTAAATTTGTTAATTTCGAAACAATATTTGGTATAGAAATTTTGCCTGAGTTCACAATTACTTTGCTGTCCTCAGACATACATGCATCCAAATCAAATTCTAAATCCCATTTTTTTTTTTTTTTTTAGGTCATAGTCTAAGTCTGGTAAAGGGATATCATCTTCACTCAGAATTTATTTTGAAACCCGCATGTCTGTAGTAGCTAGCAGTAGTTTTGACGGAAATCATGCTCTAAGGTTGCTAAGTAGAAATTTTCATCAAGCACATTGACAGAAAAGGAGAATTTATCGTCAAGGGCAGCTATAAAATCCTTGATAAGTTTTCTGTAGTTAATTTAAAATTATTAATAATCTCTTGGTCCATAGATTGCAATACACTTGTCATATTTGGTAATAAATATACTATTTTTATGGCTTCTAAATTATTTAGTCTGTTGTGAGATGTGAAGTTGTCAATATCTTAAGCTATTTTTCTACCTTTCTATGAAAATTTTGCGTCTATATTCTTGATTGTCTTTTCCTATAGCTTTGAAGTCATGGGAGTTTTGGAGTTGATGTCATAGCTCACTGGCTAAAATTTTAAACCTTTAAAAATTCTGGGGAGTTTTGGCTTTACCTATGACAATAGGTTTCAGCTTCTCACTGTCATCAGTTTTGAATCTGAGCAAAGTAGTGAGTCTTTCCTTACTCTTTTTTCCTGCAATGCATTTTTCTTTTTTGGAGGAAAGAGTTTTTGTCTGGCAAGATTCTGTAAAACAATTCACATTGTATAAATGCGGATTGTTTTACAGAAGCTTGCCAGACAAAACAAGTGAGAGGAACAGCCTTGATTATTCCTCTCGTTTAATACAAAAATAAATCCAAAAATGTCTTCAATCTGTGTAACTAACACATTTTAAAAATGTCACTTAAACCATACTGACATGTACTTTTTTTTATCACCTTTCATTTTCAGGACAGAACAACCTCTGGATCATTGTCAAATGCTTCTCCCTTGACTTTTTTAATGATAATTCAGGATTTCTTTTCAGCATTTTCAACCATCTGTTATTAGCTGCAAAGTTTTTTTTCTCAGTGTTTGGCCGTGGCATATTTTATCCTATGATCAGAGCTTTCTTGATTCCTTCATAAGGAGACACTTGCTGTCTTTTTCTTGTATCAAAGTTTATAGTGTCTTTTGATGATAAAATATCATGTGTGCAGTGTTCGAGGAATTCCGTGAGCTTTTGCAAATGCAACTTTCGACTGATTTAATTTTTCAAACTCCTCGATAGCTTTCTTTTTTCTGAAAATATTAAAATTTTACTTTTTTTCTAATATTCTGCTAAAGATACGAGTATTCAAGTTACTTTTTTCAAACTAAAGAAAACTAGGAATGACTAAAAATTCAAGTTGAACACGTGCCAAGACTGATTTTGCACTATAAGTTCCCTTTTTCTGAGCCTGAAATGATTTTGACCTCTAAACTGGAAAATAAATAACTTATTTGTCATTATTTTCCCATTCAGTTGGTTG